CCTGCGGGTCTCGGGTCTACAAAGGAAACACCGGCCTGGCCTGTAGTGGTGCGTGGTGGGTAGTGCGCAGTGCGTAGTGTGTGAAAAGAAGCAGCCAGCAGCAGCGCCGCCGCACTTCAGCTGCGTAGGTACGAGAATATCTCTCTCTCGTGTGGATGCACGGTGGCCAGGCTAACGAAGGTGTGTGGGGAATCGAGAACGGGAGAGCGAAGAGCCGTTCGCGAGTACGGTACCTAATAGATGGATGGATGGATAGATAGATAGAAGGAAGGAAGCGAGTGGAATGAAAAGAATAGACGACGGCAGCGTATCTTAAAACACTCAAGCCAAGTCAAGTCAGACCAGACCAGACCAGCCTGCCGCCCGCGTGAAGGTATCCACAGCAGAAAACGATAGTGATGCAGGAGATACGCAGGTGGTGCAAGGAGGAGGAGCGATAAGAGCGAACGAGCGAGGGACAGGGTACAAGCAAGAAAAGGTAAGGTAGGTAAGTCAGTCAGTCAGTCAGGAATACGGTGAAAAGAAGAAAAAACGTTAGGTATAACAGAGGGAAAGTGAAAAGGGAGGTGTGGGGAGGGAGAGGAGGTGCTTGGAAGAATAAGAAGATAGCCTTGGAAAATAGATAAATGATAGATGGATAGATAGACAGACGGATTACAATACAGTGCAAGAGAGATGGAAGAAAGGAAGACGAAAACGACAGATGCATCCACGTATCCACGTATCCACGTATGCAGCCCCCGTCCACCTGTCCTTGTCCTTGTCCTTGTCATTATCATTATCGACCAACAAAACATGGCATGGCATGGGCACTGGGCATGGTTCCTCTGTGATCCGCGCACCCGCTGTGGGTTTCCTGATTCTGCTCCAAGGAAAACGGCGGCACCATCGGCCAATTGAGACAGCCATTCTGTGATCGTCCTTCACATCATCATACAAATCCAGTCCAATTCCGTCCTGGTCTTGCAAAAGTCCACTGCAAGGCAAAACGACCGGCAAGAGAAATCAGGTCGTCGACTCTAGCTTGGCTTGCCTTGGTCGGGCCTGTCTGTCTGTCAGTGCTCTCGATTTCCAATCCCCAATGGGCAATGCTCTTGTCTGTCAGTCTGCCGCCGACTCAAAAGGCCTCACTTCACGGTCGGGCAGCTACATAGTCACGTCTTAAGAACGTTACCTTACCTATCTTCTCTGGTCCGGCACGGATAAGGGGGCCACCGCTCGCGGAGGGAAACACTGGGCATTGAGCACACACACACACACACACACGCACACACGAACACAAGCGAAGGGAACCACGACGGCGACCAGGCCAGGAGCTAGTCAGCTTGGAAGGATGCTGCTAATCTACTGTATCTTTGTTGTTTCCCCCTTCTGACTGGGGTGCCTGTCAGATCGCGGAGATGGATGCTGGAGGAGACGACGCACTGTCCAGATATTATTATTTTCCCCTAATAATTGTTCCTAGCTACATGTCGTCACCTAGTAACAGCCGAGCCAGGATCGCTAGTCAGCGGCGCGTGGGCCGTAGCGTCTACTTCTGTCCGACAGTGTGCCGTGTTAAGGATCCCATCGTTTCCTGGATTGCGCTTGGGCCAGCATTTCTGGTGCCCACAAGGCGAACAGTCGCAGAGTGACGAAATGCCTGGATGCTAACACTCGGCATGTACTGCGGTACGGCCAGCGCGACCGCACATGCCCACGGCTCGCTGGAAGATCCATGCCGGTCCGAGATTCAGGTCAAGGGCTCAAGTGTGTGTCTTAGGCCAAACCTTATGATTCGCTGTGCAGGACCCTTTGCCCTGCGAGAAAGACGTTGGATGTTATTTCCCATCTCTCCTAGCACCCTTCTGGCATGCATCCGACGGCACAGTGTCCTAGGGATTTGCCGCTCACAGAACGAGAGAGGTAGAATCAACAGAAGGGACACAAGAGAGTACTGAAGATGGATCTCAAAAGCTATTCTCTACGGGTGCTGGCCTGCACGGGCTGTCTGGCAAAAAAGGCACAGAAAAAGCGCGCGAGTCCATTGCAAAGGCGGTCGCTCGAAGCTGCCTTGGTGCGCACTTTAGCCTCTCAAGACTCCCCCGAATTGGGGTTGGTGCCTCAAGTCGTTCATCTTCAATCAATATGGTACGGCAGGGATCCTTGCTCTCCCTGCAATTTGGGCGAATTCGCGGCAGGGTTGGCCCCCCTTTGGCAACCTGGCCCGTCCATGAGTCCAGCGTTTTCGACAAGAACCAGATCGTCGATTTGCCCATCTGGACGCAAATGAAAAAGCGGCAGAACCGCTCTGCTGTTGTATGGTCTTTCGAGCAATGCCCATATTATGGCCAGCTCGTCCGGGCGGCCCTTATTTCGGCCAGATGAAGCTTTCGGCGGATGGGAGACTCACCGGATACCTTGATCCAATGTTCGCTCCAACGTCGCCGTTTGAAGGTTTATTTGTCCAAAAGGTCATCCGTTTTCAGTGGCCTGGTCTCCACCATGCCCACTGCTTAGCTGACCGCCCAGGATCTGCGGAGTGAAAGCTCCAAATCCGATGGTGAGCAGAAGCCCGAGAGATTGCCGCCCTGTCTGTCCAGCAAAAGTCCGCGGCCGGGACACATTTCAAAAACGCCTGGAAGACCATCACGAATACAAGAATGCCTGGCGATTACGACTTCACGAGCTCATCGTGCCTCTTCCACCTGACGAGAGTATACGAGTGCTTCATGGCGTGATCTCGTACTGATCTTACACAGCTGCTCACCTATTTTGCCTCAGGACCACCCTCAATCCCGAGAAAAGTCTATTTTACGGATATCGCGGCGGTTCCCACTTGTTTGGTGGCAGGGAGACACCTAGAAGAAGCCCTTGGTGTTTTCATCCCTTTTACAGTAGCTGACGTTTTGCCATCAACATGCAGTGATTACTGCAGAGCTGCATGCAGGACCCCCGCACAAGGCCCCAGAAAAAAAGGTAATGGTGGGATGCTTGTGAGGTTACCATTCTTGCGTAGGGTGTTGGGGACCTCGAATGTGATTGCTCAATGCCTCGTAATGCTCTGAGAGGCGTGTAAATGCTCAGTCAGCAGTCGACGCTCTTGAGAAGTGATCGTGACCCCAATTGTTTTGAAGTGATCAACAACCATATGCCGGCTTTGTCGAAACCTTGATCATCCATCTTCCCGTTTGCGGGCAGAAGCAGCAGCAATACTATACAACATTCTGAATTCAACAAGACTTGATCTAATTGTCCTGTTGGTGCAACCCGGAGATCTGTGAATCACATGCCGAGGGAGCATCCTCCGTGCCAATGGATGAAGCTGGTGGAAGGTGAGTCTGGAGATGGTCCTACGGCTGCATATGCACCTGAAGCCGTCTCTGCCTTAGCCTCTCCGTCGAGTCTTCCTGTACAGTCTAATTAGTCGTCGAACACCTCTAGAGTGATCGCCTACTGAACTTTGTTGTAGAAATCGCCAACCTGGCGAGCCTAGTTAGCTAATCACTACGCCACCTGTCATGCTTTCCAAGTATTGCTGAAGTGCAGCTGTCCTTGTCTCGAGCCTGTCTATTGAGTGATCGACTCAATTGATCTCTCCTTTTCATTATCGTACTCGTCAGCAGTGGCTAGCCTACGAAACCTATTCGAGATGTGGTCGATTCACTTTGGTAAACACGAAATGCTTCGCCCTCTGATACCACCACACTGGCAGCGAGGCTAATGCGGGGGTTCACACCATCCGCAAGAACTGAGATGCAAGTCGCCTCATCCTTAGCGGGCTTTGCGAACGACAAATAGAGCCGTCTCATTCTCGCCGATAATCAATACTGCTCTGGAAAGGGCTAGCTCATCTACTGTAGAGCTAGATAGACGCAATCCGCCTAAAGAAGCAGATAGTAGCAACCAAGAGCCGTGTGTCCGTTTCTTTCGTCAGCCCAAATAACCGGTTGTAGGTAGGACATCAGACAGGTCGAGGGGTGAAATCTACAAGCCGTTTGGCCACGAGGCTCTACACTACTGTGTAGGCTGGCGAAAAATAAAAATAAAAATGGGAAAGGGGAGACAAAATCAAGATAAGATGCCGTGTCGTGCCTTGAAAATGCAGACGCAACATGCAGCAACATCTCGCCCCAAGACAAAAATCAAGGTGTGACCCATGCCCTGCTGCCCGTGTTGTGCCACAGCAGATAAGCAGATCCCATGGTGGGGTAGCCGGGTTCTGGCGAAATAGATTGCTTGGACGGCGTACCTCTCAAACGGCCGAAATACTGTCGGTAACCTTGTGAAATGGCGCCGAGGGATTGTTGGAGATAGAGCACTGCAATATCGAGAGTGTCCACGGCTGGAATGTGAAGCCAGGTCTCGGGTGCAGTGGAGGCTTGACGATGAGAGACCTGCCTGCCTAGCAACGACCCGTGTTGGTGTTGGGAGAGCAACTGGGATAACAGCCGGGAGATGATCCAGAAAACAGATAGTCTGTGGTAGGCGCGGCAAGATGAATACAACGCCATGAGTATGGAGCATGGGTCCCACGATGGAGACGATGGTCAGTCAGATGACGAGTAGAGAAGCCTTGGCCACCTCCACGGGTCCGGCCTCCACCTGCGCACCCGGCACCACGGCCGGAGGTCTGACCGGTCGCCCTTCGTGCCGGAGTTTCACAGCACAAGCTCGGGCCAGGCCTCGAAAGGGGTGAATGGCGGGGGCGCCCAGGGCCCGGAGGATTCGGCACACCTGTCTGACAACCTCCATAGTCAACCAATGATTGCTCACAGCGGCACAGCGTGACGAGAACCTACCTCAAGCTTGTTGAACTTCACCATTCTGTAGTCCAACCCATCAACCTCCCAAGCGTGTTCACTCGTCAAACGACTTGGGCTAGTATATTCACTAAGGTCTGTTCGACAGGCTGATTCATGGCGGCGCCTGTCAAATGGCGTGAGGCAAATGATCTCTCAACACCAGACAAACTCACCAATGCTGCGGGTTTCACACGCCCGAAACACCCAGCCGCCATCATGGGCTTGGGACGCCGCGTCCGTCACTTCATTGCGTTCGTCCTCGTGACGCTGTCGTCCTACCTCATCTTTTTCCAGCTGCTCTCACACCTCACCCCTTCATGGCCCCATGTGTTCGCCCTCCCCCGCTACAAGGGGTACACATCGCAATACTCGTTTGATCTCGACAAGGCCAAGCACCCTACCTGGATGGCCTCTATCCCGGACTCCGCCAACCTAAGCAGCCTTTCCATCCCCGGCAGCCACGACACTTTTACGTCCAAGGTTCCACTCATTGGGTATCAGACGCAGAATTTTGACCTGCAAGACCAGCTGCGCGCCGGACTGCGGTACTTTGACGTGCGCACAAGGCTCGCGAATGACACGCTGCGTATCTACCACGGCAGCGTGGACACCGGCTGGACGTACGTCGATGTGATTCTCGCGCTGTTTGACTTCTTGGACAAGCACCCCACCGAGGCAATCGTCATGCGCCTCAAGGAGGAGGGCGTGCCGTTCGGCCACCCCACCAAGACCTTCGAACAGGCCGTCCTGCACCACTGGTGGAAGGACCCCGTGACGGCCCCCGGATGTCAAAAGCATTTCTACGAGTGGCCTCTTCTGGCCCGCGCTGGGTACAACGTCACCTCTTATGACGACCACGGTGTCGTTTTCGAGGTCCTCCCCACCCTCGGAGCCATGCGCGGCAAGATCATCATCCTACAGGAGTTTGACTCCGTAGGTGGACCGTGGGGCGTCCCCTGGAAGTCATCACACATTGAGCTCGAGGACCTGTGGATCATTGTAGACGTCGAGCATCTCGATGACAAATGGGATGCCATCACTGCCAATCTCCAGAAGGCGGCCAACAATACCCACCCTGGAGCACTGTACCTCACGCACCTGAGCGCCAGTGTCGGTGTTCTGCCCATCGAGGCGGCGGCTGGTCCGCTGAACACCACGATCGTCGGCATGAATGACCGGACGGGCAAGTATCTCGCCGAGAAGAGCAATGCAAAGGCGCTGGACGGGAAAACAGGCATCGTCATGGCGGATTTTGAGGGTGCCGGGTTGGTCGATGCTATTTTGGCGCACAATGAATGGCTTAAGAAATGATCGATCATTCATTTCATCGCACAAATATTTGAAATTGTAGTTTTAGAGGCATCAGCGAGGCATCTAAAATTGGTGTAGCATAATTGGGAAACAACAGCATGGACAATCATGGGGTTAAAATACTTTAATATGCATTGTAACATTCTAACATATCTCAATCGTTAGCTAGATGCTGTATAATACAATTATTCATGTCCACAGGAGAACAATGTTTATCAATTCAAGATATTTACTCTATGTTCTAGATAGCATGAGGATGGAAGTGTCAAGCCGCGATATGTGCACACAATTTCTATAATGTCAGCTACTGCTTAAGATGGGTTAGATCGAGAACCACAGATAGAATTAGAATAAAAGAGAGAGGCTGTTGCAAAGTAATTTACACTTGATAAGCCCATGGAACGAACAATGGCTATTGTCCTTGACGGCGGTGTTGCAAACACAATACATCTATTGTCAAAGCAGGGGTGGCGAGATATTGCAAACGAGCAGTTTCGGACGAAAAGTTTGGAAGTGTCCGAATTATTTCTAGCTAGTTTTGACATTGGGGTGACGAAAACAAGGCGCGAATCTGACTCAATGTCAGTTTGAGGTTGCGATTCTGTTTGTTTATATTCCGCCAGCTCATATTCTTCTCCTACGACGACACCCAACATCAACATCGCTCTTTGTCCGCCAAGCTGTCTACGTCAGGCTTTTATATATTTCTGGAGCCGATTTGCGAACTTCTAACTTTGTCTTTCGAATTTCTCTCACCCTGTTATCGACATTCAGTAAACCCACAATGCGCTCGTCATTGATGCAGAATCTTGTGCTGGTCCTCGCAGCGTTTGTGCTTCTTGCACCGGGTCTGCATGTGTCTCCAGAGGACCTCAACACCCAGCTTCTGTCGGAATATGACTACATCGTAGTCGGCGCTGGACCTGCTGGTCTTGTCGTTGCTTCCAGACTTTCGGAAGACCCCAAAGGTACGCAATGTTGACTACCTGTTGATTGCCCCCTTCCTGAAGCCGCTCGTTTGAAATCTGACCAATTTGTGCAGTGACAGTGCTTGTTCTTGAAGCCGGACCACTGTAAGCTCCCATTATTAGAAATCACGGATCACGTTGTAATCCCAGGGACAGGGACAAGGATGAAAGCATCGTCACCATACCAGACAAGATTGGCCAAGATCTGGGAACAATCTACGATGCGAATTTCTCGACGACACCACAGCAGTTCCTCAACAATAGAACCAGACAGTTCAATCAGGGAAGAGCCGTTAGAGGCGGCACAATACTGAATGGCATGGTCTGGACCAGAGGTCCTGCTGCAGATTACGATGCCTGGGACACTCTCAATCCTGGCGGCGGATGGGGCTGGCACGATCTTCTGCCGTACTTCCAGAAGGTTCGCAATAGTATCGCAGATCAAGACGATAATATACTGACCAATAAACTGTTAGAGCGAGACATTTACCTCGATGGAGAGCGATGAGTTCTCTATCCGCCCTGATGATGACTTCCACGGCACCATGGGACCAGTGGAAGTCGGCTATCCTCGATACATCTACAATCAATCAGGTGCGTCAAGATCGAGGTCACCATAGTGGGTTGGGTTTGCTAACACAGAAAAGGCAACTTTCTACGTGGAATGAAAGAGATGGGAGTGCCCATTCTCACCGAGGCTAACAATGGTACCGGCACTGGCGCCATGATCTCACCATCGTGTACTTCCTCAACCAACCAGTCACGTTCTGATGCCCGAACGGCGTATTTCGACACGGCCATTGATCGAAACAACCTTCATGTCGCCTCAGAACAGACCGTGAGTCTCGTTCTACTGGAAAGCTCTCAGCGAACTCTACCGATACATACAAATGCGCCGTTCCACAGCCTCGTGCGGGCGCGAGGAGTAGAGGTGATTGCTCTAATATTCCTTCTACTTTCTTACTGGCTAACTCTCCAAAGTTCATTTCTACTTCCTATAATCACACGAGACGGAATGTTACGTGCACTCGAGAGGTCATCCTGGCAGGAGGTGCGATCCTTTCACCGACTCTGCTTCAGCTCTCAGGGGTCGGACCGTCATCAGTCTTGGAGGAACTGAATGTCACCGTCCAGATTGATCTTCCCGGTGTCGGTGCCAATTTCCAAGACCACGGGATGGTCAACGCCATATATCGATGTTAGTTCCTGTGTCAAACCCCTGTGTGAGGCACCCTTTGCTGGAGATACTCACAAATATGTAGACAGAAACTCGTCTGTCATAACAGCGGAAAGCTTTCAGGGGGACTCAGCACGTCAGCAATACTACACAAATCACTCAGGCAAGCAATGTAACCATTCTTCTAAGATGTCATCTCTGACTCGTTAAAGGTCCATGGACGGCACCACTCATCAGCGCAACGGGATTTCCGTCGCTCCGCCACCTGTCGGTTGACTGGGCAAACCTCCTTGCGGCAACCTCAGCAGACTCAGATGGATTTGACACGCATCTACCAACTGACACCCATCCCTCTGTGCGAAGTGGCTATGTCATCCAGCGAAAAGCCCAGCTTCGTCTCCTCCGCGACCCGCTTCAGACCGCTGCCGAGATCATGGCAGACTCCAAGGGCACACTGACTGTCGCAATGCAGAGACCCCTATCTCGCGGCACCGTCCGGCCCGCAGCCTCCGGATCAGCTCTCGATAGCCCTCAGATTGACCCCCGATACTGTTCCGAGCCCTTCGACTGCGAAGTGCTGGTGCGGGCGTTGCTCTTTACTTGTGCCTTGGTACGGACCGACGCCATGAAACCCCTGGGCGCGGTCCCCCAAGATCCCTTCTCGTGCCCCGAAGGGCCATTGAGTTCGACCAATCTGACCGCCGAATACGAGAGCCTGCTAGACCTGGTACGATCTCGCCTTCATACTGAGTTCCACCCCAGCGGCACGACGGCGATGATGCCCCTAGAGCTGGGAGGTGTGGTCGACCCAACTTTGCGAGTGTATGGTACAGAGAACTTGCGTGTTGTGGATGCTGGAGTCATGCCTCTGATTGTGGGTGCACATCTGCAGGCGGCTGTGTATGCTGTCGCCGAGAAGGTAAGTTGAAAAGTTGACGCACATCACTGGTTTACTTGTCGTTTCTTTGTGTCTGATGGCTAACAATGTTCTATGATAGGCTGCGGATCTGATCAAAGCAGATATGAGCCAGCATGACAGCAATGCTCAAAATAGTGGCCCCCATCATCCTTCAGTGACCAAGTTTGGCGCACATCGTCCTGGTAGATGGTCGCACAGGGGCCCATGAATCGGCGATGTGTTATATTCTTAGGAGGCTGAGGTGGCTCCTACATGTCGGCACTACTGAGGGATTTGAGTTCGTACTTGAATGAGGCATGATGAGGCGTTCTGGCATGATACCACTTGTTGTTTCTCTTTTTGTGAGTTAGACAAACTAGACGTAGAGAATTAGGCCTCCTGCTAGAGGTATAATATACGCATCAGTTGTGCCAAGACAGAAAATCGTCACAGAAGCAGGATCAAGTCGGGCTTTTCAGGGCTCGTCTTTACTAAAGTGTTGCCCAAGTGTTGATTTAACTTGACACAAAGGGGCTGCGTCTCGTTCATATTTGAGCCTCGATCTTTGCCATTTTCTCGTCCATCTTTCTCATCATCTCTTCTTCATCGTCAGCGTGGCGGCCATTTCCCACATGTAACCCTCTTGCTTGCATCTCCTTCTCAACCATCTTCCTGGTTATCATTCCTTCGAGAAGTTGTGGTGAATCCTCTCTTTGCTTATTTGCCCACGACTCCACGCTCCGCATTCCAACTACCAAGAACCCCAGCTCTTCGCGATCCACGTCGAAGACATCCCACCACTCGCTCTCAGGCATCTTCGCGCCAACATCCTTCGCGGCATTATATATTGCTGCCACGGCTAGAGCATTGGGTTGATGCGTTAAATATAACATCTGTGGAGATAGTAGCGCCGTGTTGAGGTGTTCTATCGTGCGCTTCGAAATCCCTGTCTTGCTCTGACCTAGGAAGTCCAGTGCTTGTAGATAGGTGACTGCAAGGGGGTGTGGGAGGGAGACATGCGTGTCAAACCCAAGAGAATATAATATGCGCGCCTCAAGCGCAAGGATTTGTGTATGGAATGAGTGATACTCGGATTCGCTCAAGTAGTAGGAGGAAGGATCGTTGGGCGGTGGTTGAGACCCTTTCGGTCGTAGAAAGACTGAGCTAGGCGACAGGAGGTACGCATAGACATTTGAGACATCCCGAGGGGAGCGTGGATAGGGTCCTAGTTTGGCCACGAGGTATATACAAGCTGCGGAGACATCCTGGATAGCTGTTAGTCAAGCTGCATGTAGACCTCGCATTCGGAATCCAGACTCACGGCGAACTCATGTGACATGAGACTATCAACAAGCCAGTATCGAGCCAATACAATGTTGGCTTGCGCAGTGACTGACTGCGGCAGCTGCAGAAGTATGCCAGCTGCTTGTGTCAGGCATTGGGTGGTGTAGAAGATGATATCTTGTAGATCGGTCGGAAGGGCGCTGAAGGAGCTCCGTTGGTAGAGCTGTTCGGCGGTCGCCAGGGAATTGGTCATGTGTGCCATGATTGTACAGACGGATAAAACATTCTTTAGAGCAACTGGAAATGTTCTGGTTCTTGACCTTGCGGTCATTTGATCAGAGCAAAATTAAGCTGGGTTTGCTGCTTGGTATCAAGGAGTAGGTTGAGGCTACGAAAATCGCGGGGCTTGCTTGATGCTAGGCATGTCAAAGTTAGCGTGTGGGATCGTGTACGCAAATGGTGGGGAAGCGTAAGAGCCTCTCCTAGGCTAGGCGATTGGATGTCACTTAACGACTTGAAGCCTCAGTATCTATGTAGGGACTTAAGCATAAGTCGTAACATCTAATACCCGAAAACTGCCTCACGTTGTTTACCAAATTCAAAGTTGAATGAATATTATAAACACCTTGTTCGTCAATTGGTTGTCCTTGATGTAATCACCATACTAGCATAAGTGACACTTGAAATCCTCAGCTTGAATAGCGGTCTTGAAGTCGTCAATCGTCACTACGTACTTCTAGAAAGTACCTGAGGTAGGATGATGTAAATCTCGAGTCCTTGCCTTATCTAGACTTACCTAATATTCTAGCAACAAGATGCTATTTTGCTCAAGTTGGGCCTCCATCAAATGTTCATGTGAATGGCTCTAACGAGATGTCTCGAACTCGTGTGGTGGTAAATAGGTCCCAAGGGTCGCCAAATCTAAGTCAACAAAGGCAATCAATTCAGTGATTGCAGAACGAGAGACCATTTCAGGCAACATACATTGGATGAAACAAAACGTGAGCTGCCACGCGCATTCATGACCCTCCTCGCGATAGATTTAAATAAACAACATCCCGTCAAACCGTGCCTCCTCAACTTCCTTTCTTGACACATCACTGCCCGCTTAGGAAGAGTTCCCTTATCGAGCAAATAACTTTCTGCGCATTCTTTACTGTGCTCTATCCGCCTTGCCCTCTCTTCTCTTATCCACTCTCCTCCTAGATGAGGCTCGACCTCATCGCAAGCCCGCAATAACTTGCTCTCCTATTCCAGCACGGCATTTCTGGCAAGCCCATCTCGCCGTTCCGAAATTACAGGGTACCGTCCACAGACAAGAAGGCCACTGGCTGATAGGGCTTAAGCACATCCTCTTGGAGGAAAACATGGATCTTAACCGCGCTACTCGCGCAGCTCCTGCGCATTCCAAGTCTGCCCCTGATCCCCATGGCATTTCTTACCTCCAGAAGCTGGCCGTCTTGGAAGACCCTGATTTCCTTGAGCGCTGTGTTGAGGTTGGCATGGAACTGCTTGCACAAGTGAAGGCTGGACTCGAGGAGCCTCTCCCAGCTGGCGATACCAGCGCCCCCGAGTGGTTGCGAAAGATTGAGAGATGCCAGCAGGAGTACCAAGCCCCTCGGACCATCATCGGTGTTGTTGGAAACACGGGAGCTGGAAAGAGCTCAGTCATAAATGCAGTGCTTGACGAGGAGAGGTATGTTGATGTCAGAGCTTCTCCCGCTCCGATCGCCCAAGAATATAATAGCGTATCAGGAATACATCCCATAATCTGACTCTAATATTTAGGCTGCTGCCCACAAGCGGGCTCAGAGCTTGCACCGCCTGCGCTACCGAGATCTCATATAACTCCTCAGACGATCCGAACCAGCTATATCGCGCAGAGATCGAGTTCATATCCGCTGAAGACTGGCTCAATGAACTGCGGGACCTTCTTGCCGATCTCAAGGACGGTAACAGGATTTCGGCGCACTGTAACGACCCTGAGACCGCTGCTGGGATTGCTTACGCAAAGATCAAGGCTGTCTATCATGACATGACAAAGGCACAGCTTTCTGCGACGACTCCAGAAGAGCTTGCAGGTGATCCGCGTGTTAGTGGTGTCTTGGACTACGTGAAGCATCTCAACGAGGGTTCTTCTAAGGCTCTATATCGAAACCTTCAGTACTATGTGGACAGCAAAGAGAAGGATGATGAACCTCGGATGGAGTACTGGCCATTGGTCAAGGTCGTTCGCATTTACACCAAGGCGCAAGCTCTCAAGACAGGCGCTGTTTTAGTGGATTTGGTAAGTCTTCTCGTCATCTGTACCGAGGTCTACCTCTCTGATAATTGATGCAGCCTGGCGTGCAAGACAATAATTCAGCTCGAGCTGCGGTTGCTTCAAACCATCTGAGGCAATGCACGGCTCTTTGGATTGTCACTCCTATCATCAGAGCCGTTGATGATAAGACGGCTCAAACCCTTCTTGACAAGTCTATTAAGCGTCAATTGCAGTTCGAGGGCCTTTATTCGGATGTGACATTCATCTGCTCAAAGACGGATGAGATGTCCATTACCGAAGTCGAAGCCAGTCTTGGCTTGACGGCGAGGAATGCGAAGATACGTGAGCACATAGCTGCTCTGGATGCGAAGATCGCGTCTTCTAGATTTGATATTGATCGCTTGAGAGAAGAGAAAGACACGATTCAACAGCAATCAGACGCTCTAGATAAAGAGAGAGACAGGCTGGATGAGCGTCGCGAACTCGTATCCGCACAGTCTGCGCCATCAATGCTAGGGGACAGTCGCAAGAGGCATCGCTCAGCGTCAGTGGAATAGAATACCATCGACGCAGAGCTCACTACTCTCAAAGCCCAGAAGCAAAAATAATCGCTAACAGACAAGGACTCGATAATAACATTAAGGACCTTCACGCGGATATAAAGCAACTGACGGCAGAAATCAAGGAGTCGAATTTTGATATCAAGGCAGCTTGCTTGAAAGGCAGGAATGAATACTCGAGAGCAGAAGTCAAGCGGTTGTTCGCTGCCTGTATTAGACAGTATGTTGAATGACCCTCCGACGGAAAGCTTGATGAGCAAGGTCATTGAATGCTAACATCTTGAGCAGGCAAGATGAAGATACGGCTGCGAGAGGTAATGGATTTCATCTCAACCCCAATGAGCCCCCTCGAGACTACGGCGAGATTGAATTGGCTTTACCTGTTTTCTGCGTCAGTAGCAAGGCGTACCAAACGCTCTGTGGAAGAATGCCAGAGGACGGGTTTGAGACCACCGGATTTGATATCGGCATAACAGAGATTCGCCGCCTTCAACTCCATGCTATAAAGCTGACAGAGGCTCGGAGAGTGATATCTTGCCGACGATTTATCAACTATCTTATTGGTCTGTTGACGAATATGAAATTTTGGACTCGATGCGATGATCAACGACCAGGTGTGAATGGTCACGACGAGCAAGAACAAAGCGCTCAACTTCAAAGAGACCTGGGCGAGCTGGGAACGGTTAGTAAATCCCGTGAATTCTTGTCTACCAATGGCTAACCAGACATAGACCCTGTACAGCGCTGCGGACATCTGCGTCAAGAGCATGAAGGATTCTTTGAAAGAAGATATCTTCAACCTTTATGAGAGAGCCGTAGCTTCGGCTGCCGAGAAATCCCTGCAGACGGTCGCGACATGGGCAGATTTGCAATATCATACCTATAAGGCGATCTGCCGCCACGATGGTCGCTACAGAAACTCCAGAGCATCACACAACTTCAACTTTGACCTTGCGGAGCCTATCTACAATTACATTGGTACGGGATGGGAGAAGGCATTTCGGGCTAGCTTGCCCGCATCATTCGCGCGCTTCATGAACACCGCTGAAATGGCCATCACCCAATTTCATGAGCACACGGTTGAGATCTCTCGCATCCGCATGAGCAATCCCGATGATTTCGCATTCCTTCAGCAACGTCTTGAAACCTCTCTCGAGGAGCTCAGGTTCAGCTTCGAGGAGGTGCGAGAAAAATGCGCCAAAACTCAGCGAAAATCGTGCAGAGAATTCGAGCCCGTGATCAAAACAGCTATGATGCGCGCGTATATGCTCTGCGAATTGGAGAGTGGTAGGGCCATTTTTCTTTTATGAGAACTACCCATTTCGTATTAGATATGTCAGCTATACTAACTATACCACTTCCAGGTCCTGGCGCGTTAGGCCGGATGAATGATGAAATGGAGAAGCATGTCCGAAGAAACCGTCATGTAATGTTTCGACAAGCAACCGATACAGTCAGAAATCGGTTGAACGACATGTGTACGTGGGTGGAGGATATGTTGAGAAGGACGATTAGCGAGCGGCTCTCGACATTTAACGAGGACTACCGTCGTGTTCTCATCCCCAGCATTGCAGCGGCACGCGCCTTGAGGAGCCCTGCAGAGCGTGCCCTTCGACGCAAGATGGAACCACTGTTGACCAACGCCGACAGAATGTTTAAGGAGTTGTCCGCTTCGGGAATGCTCAGTGAAGAGGATTTAGGGTTGGATGTGGACGGTGATTCCGATATGCTTGAGCTCTGATTTGGAGCTCATAGATTGTAATCCTTCGGTGGCTACCTCTTCACAGGCAGACTTGTATGTGGAGCAGTTGTTGCACATGAGAAATAGCTGTCAATCCCCAAGGAGTAGCTTATAATTAGTAGCTGTCGCAGAGGTAGTAGTTGCCGTCTACACCTTCACACTCATGTAGTAGCTATCGTTGCTTACCTCCGTACCCAGGTAGTTTGCCAAAGCCTATTTAGTAGTGTTAGACAACAACAACCTTCACCGCAAAAGGCGGCTCAGAGATTCCCCGCGAGGATCGTTTGACTTCCCCAGAACACCTGTGATCCCCCACCGAATGCACCCCACGCGGCAGAGCCCGCCTACAGGTCTCAGGCCCTTTTTTGTCGTCAATGCGAAACATGCGAGCGTTCATCCCATGTCGTGGGGGTCAGGGACCTGTCGAGAAAGACGATGACATGATGTTCTCGAACAACAAAGCACGGATCGGCAACTGGGCGGCCCGGCGGGTGTTTTGGCCCGCGCGGGCTCAGGTGTAGCCTACGCAGTGCCATTGGTGGCAATTTTGAATGTCAAGTCGTAACCTTTCAGACCGAGCGTTGAAGATATGCATAGTGATGGCCCGTGTAGTCCGCTTTGGCGATAATGCAAGTGCAGGGAAGAGCTGACTCCGCACCGGAAGTAGCAGGAAAGGGGTTTAGGCATGTACAGGGGTCAAGTGATAAGGCGTTGCTGCTATGCAGGTGTTCACCTCATGCTCTACTCGCTGAGTATGATTTCTGTATGCTTGCTCTAGGCTGAGCTGGGCAAGTTTCAATGAACATCAGCTGGAGTCAAAAGTTGAGCTCGATCACGACATCTCATACGCGAGGTGATGGGGCGGGGATACTCGTTACAATTACATATTGTACATATTGTAGATACTAGTACACTAGAGACGTCTGTATGTATGTTGATCTCTAATTTAACATACTCTCAGCTGACTGCCTACGCCGCTCAAGATGGAAATGATCTTGGCGCATCGCTTCACAGAGCCTTCTCTCTTGGACCTGTGACTTTCTCAAACGTGTCGAGGTCCATAGATAGCGAATGACGGCCGGCAGTCTTGCCCCTAAGATGGGAATCGTATTCGAGCATCTCCTTCAGGGGTACCCTAGCGACAAGCTCGAGCATCCTCGTGATACCCTTCTTCGGGTCACGCAGGGATGCAATGGACTCATATGGGTCTGGAGGGCTGTATACCTGCGAGAGGTCTACTGGACTCTCGGTTGAAACGGCATTGTTGAGGTCGTTGATCTCTAGAACGTGTCCTCCACGGCCGGAGGAGAGGTCATGTTGTACAACGCCAGCGACTTCCTCTGGGCACTGGATGCGGACTTTCATGACAGGTTCCAGAATTCCAATCTGCTTCTTACTGTATGCATCTCGGAGAGCGTTTCGTACTGCATGATACGCAGCGTTGACGAAATGACTTCCTGGTGTTGGACCAAAAAAGTCAGTCTCTGGATCGAAGGTGATTGTTACATGGCATCCCTGGACAGGCGATCCGCGACGGGGGCCTCTGTATAGAGCCGAGATGGCACCATTCTGAAGTTGTTGGCGGACCATCTCTGGATCAAATTGCAGCCCAGACGTATCCCTTGGAAGTGGGATCTGCACATGTATGATGTTGCCGTCTCGCTCCACGCTTGACTCCAGTATCGTTTCTTGGTGATGCTCCTCTAAAGGCTCTAACGTTGCTTTGCACGCGGCTTTACCCGTCTTGCCGGCCACTGCTTTGTCGTACGTGAAGCTCTGAGGAGGGACTGGTGCGGTGAGACACTCTTTGTAATCAACTTCAATCTCTCCGAAAGTGGCCTCGATCTTATAATTTTTTTTTAGGTTGTCGATAGCAATGTCAAGATGTAGCTTTCCCATGCCAGAAAGAATGAACTGGTCAGCGGCTTCATCCTTATTCCACCGAAGACTTGGATCCTCTCGCGACGCACTTTCTAAAGCTTTCTCTAAAGTTTGTTGTGCTGTGATGGAAAATGGCTCGATTGCAATGAAGGCAACGGCTGGTGGAATTTGCACCGGCCGGATCTGTATGCTCTTCAAAGCAGCATCAGCCGTCTTCTGCCCGGGGAAAGCTATCAATGTATCTCCTGTCCGGGCTGTTTTAAGACCGGTAATTGCCCCGATGCTCCCAGTTGTAAGATGTGGAATTTCTTGTGTCAGATTGGCAGAGATCTGTAGCATGTTGTGAGATTTTTCTGACAGATGGACATTTGAGTTCCATGTCGCGGAATTTCTGTTCAGTGTTCCGTGATATACCCGGACAAAGCTCAGCATGCCACGCTGGGGATCGTTGAAGACTTTGAAGACGGAGGCAACAGCTGCAACTGGAGACTGGTGGGCGAATTTGCTGCCTTTTTGCTTTGATTTGGCGCCCTCTTGCACGAGGAATTCTTTGAGGTAATGAGTTGCTGGTCCCACACGGATCTCAAGGTCTGGTCTGTCATCGGGATTTGGCAAGTAATCGACCACGGCATCAAGAAGTGGCTCGACACCAATGTTTCTGAGAGAGGCACCTGCAAATACCGGAACAACAGTGCCTTCACCATCCATAATAACCCGCCGTATGCTCTTTTTTATAGATTCTGATGAAACATCTGCGCCGGTTTCCGCGAACTCCAACGTAAGTTCGTCATCTTCATCGCAAAGCCTTTCCACGAGCTTTTCTCGTGCGAGATTGATTTCAGTGAGAAGATTTGGGTTGTCCGTTTTGAGCATAGCCTCGAGAAGTGTATAGGGATATGTCTTGCGTGAATCGGCGGTCGTCCATTTGTAACCAACGCGCTTGATCACATCTATAACGCCAACAAACTCGTCCTTCTCCCACCAGGGAATTTGACATATGACAGGGAATGCATTCAATCGAGATGCAATGTCCAACACCGATTTTTTAAATGAGGCGCCAACACGATCGAGCTTGTTGACGAAAATAATTCTTGGAATCTTAAACTGCTGGGCCGATGTCCAGACTCTCTCGGTATGCGCTTCGACGCCTTTTACAGAGTCGATGATGCACACTGCGCCGTCAAGAACAGGTAAACACCGGTCTACCTCGAAACGGAAGTCCTGATGACCGGGAGTATCGATGAGATTGATAGTCTTGGACTCTACACCTGGTGGGCATGTCTCTTTTGGTGGCCAATTGAAAGATATTGCAGCAGACTGGATTGTGATGCCTCTCTCCCGCTCCAAGGGGAGAAAGTCGGTAATAGTATCTCCATTATCAACATCTATAAAGTGAGAATTTAGTATTTTCTCAGAAGAATTTGCAGGCTTGGAAGTTGTAAAGCCTTGATGGGACATACTGCCTAATCGCCTTGTCACGCCACTGTAATAGAGCATTCGCTCCGTCGTTGTAGTTTTGCCCTTTTACAGCGTTAGTACGAGTGACGAATGATGGCAGAACATCTGAGAGTCATCATACTGCATCCACGTGCGCAATGATACCTATATTGCGTATATCATCGGGCTTAGCATCATGATGAGGCTGATGAGTGCTGGTATACAACCGTCGAAGCTCATGCTGAGAACGCCGTGCGCTATGAGATATCAGCACCTGGCCGACGCAGCCAGCCCAAGCTCGTTGCCCATAACGGCATCGTGCCAATGATGCCAGTATGAGCATTCCCAAGAACTACAGTACTTGAACACTGAGTAATTTGAAGCTCAATAGCATCCTCACAGCGTTTTTCTAAACCGTGATTCGCCGTACTGCAGCTTGAAAACGATTCTGATGAAACCTGTTGTGAGTTAAGAACATGATTCTTCACAGGGTCTACACTCGGCCAATCAACCCCAGAAATTGAAGTGGCTTGCGTGTGGCTTGACCCTGACGGCCCCACTTTACGATGTCTGCCGTTGGTAGGACCTTCAGCAAGGCAGCCACCAATGGTTCGTTACTGCGGAGCATGCGAATCACCCACTTACCTACCGCTTGCTTCTCATAGCACCACCGCCTACTGCATCGTCAGCTCCCACGCGCGCATCGAGATACTCAAGGTTCAAGAGCACGGCATCAGGCCTTTCCTCTTTCAGACCACACTCAAGCACTTCTCCTCTATCATGGCCGCAGCGGCCGATCGCACTTAAGAGACAGACACCGCCCCACGCCAATTGCCGAGCTATCCTGCTGCAACGTCATTGCATTCGAGCTCCCGGCCACGACCTAATACAGCTTCAATGGATTACAGCGCGTCTATCAACGACGCAGACCATCCCGCGGGAGCCTCTCCGTGGGGCTCCTCTCCCGGTTCATCTCCTCAGCATCACCGAACTACATTCAGCGGTGCCAACGCCGAACCCCCGTTATCCCCTCCCCGCTTCGGATCACAAAACTCAAACAATGGCTTGACCCACGATTATGACGAGGGAGGGTTCGGTGCCAGTGATGGAGAGTACCGACGGCCTGATACAGCAAGCACAGTATCTGGAACAGAAACACATGTAGACGAGTCAGCTTCCGAGGCCACTCACGGAATTCCATCTGGGAGTGACCAACAACAACCATTTGGTGCTGGGGAGCGCAATGAGAATGTGCCTCCCTCTCAGTCACAAGGCGCTTCCAGAGTCTCTGGTGAGACTCTCAAGCCAGGTCAAGAGCCGCCCCAAAGCCGGAAACCCGCCCAGCCTCTTTTCAAGCTCCAAGCCAAGATAACTGGCCTCGAGCGCACAGGGCGTAAAGACCCCATATTACGATTCGACGTTCATGTAAAGACTCCAACCTGTTTATCTTGGCTACCCAGATGCTGACCGAATTAGACAAACCTTCCGAAGTTCAGGACTACGCAGTATCGAGATGTCAGACGTCTTCACTCGGAATTTGTAAAGCTTGCAGAGCACTTGATTTCCGCCAATCCAGATGCTCTTGTCCCCGCAGTCCCTCCGGCTCTGACTGCCGCCGGCGCAGGAACAGATGAGGACGAGGCAAAGGTCAAGGCACTGATGCAGCGTTGGTTCAATTACGTCTGTAGCAATGAGGTGTTAATGAGAGACGACGAGATGGTGCTCTTTGTAGAGAGCGATTTCGGCTACAGTCCGATGGTCAAGAAGAAGCAGCCTGCGACAGGTGTTCGACGAAAGATACTGAAGCAATTTGCTCCTCCACCGGATGATACTCCTGAGCTACAAGAAGCTCGCCCTGTTGTCAAACTATTCTATCTAGGTACCATGGACGCTGGACACAAAGTTGACAAACTGGTGAAGACCAGGCGAGGTAAGCTAATAGACAAGGGATGCTGTCGATTAAGGCTTCCGGTCATTTGCTGACGTGCCGCAGGATTGGGTCTTGCAGAAGCTGATTTTGGCGTCAAGCTCGGAGGCATGAATGTTCAAGAGCCACACCAAGGGCTCGCTAATGCTTACCGGAAGCTCGGAAAAGTGGTGCAGACTGTTGGAGACTGCCATGCTGCCCAAGCTACTGCAGAGGCAGCAACCATTGGCGATCCTTTCCAATATCATTCGTCGGATGCATTCATCGTCAAGGAGACCCTTACCAATCGACAGATACTGACTCGCGACTTCTTACAAGCCCAAGAAAACACCAGGAGCAAACTAAATGCTGCTGATCGCCTTAAAGCCAGCTCTAATGTTCGCCGAGAGAAGGTAGACGAGGCTATTGCAGCTTTGGATGAAGCAAAGCAGAACGAATCTTACCTATTCCAGACAACCACAAGAGTTACACAGAACCTTGTCCAAGAGCGGCGCAAGTGGTTTGCGAGGACGGCAGCGGACCTGCGCACGAGCATCAGGGAGTATGTACTCCGAGAAATCGAGGCTGAAAGGCGGACCCTGGCTCTCTTAGAAAGCGTCCGCCCCGATGTTCGAGCCATCGATGCATCCGGCGGCCTTAGCCGACTTGGTCGTGAGTCTCATCCGGTAGCACGGCGTACCAGTCTCGCTGCTAGCCAAGGTCCCAAAGGTGATTCTTGGAGCGGTGTACCTCGACGCACGGATGCGCTCAATCGCAGCGTCTCTGGTAGTTTTGTATCAAATGTTGCGGAGGAAGCAGAAAGAGAGGAGGATAGCAACCGGGCTCCCACCAGTGGCCTACCAGGAGTCAGCGAGGAGGATGACGAAGACCGCATCGATGCCCGAAATGCGGCCAGCCGATTGGCTACAAGCACGTTTTGAGCTTTGACAGGCGGTTGGCCGTGGCAAGGTGAAGAACGGCATGTTTCTCGGTAGACTTCCCCGTTCAATGTCGTAATGTTGTATTTATGTATGAGATCCAACGCCGGTGTCCCGTCTTTCGTATCCATCTTCAGACCTGACCTGGGAAACGTCCAACCATCGGGCTAAGGGCACCCAATTGGGAGACTGAACCGATTATATTGGACGGCAGGAACTGCACCCAAAAACATCTGCACAACCATTTCTCGTTCTACCTACCATGAAAAGACATGCAATATCTCATCCCAGCTTCTGCAGGCGAAGCTGCACCTAGACCTTGTACACACCATCCTTACCTACTCATCTGCATAATAGACTTACACCGCCAGTCATCGCCTGGAAACCACGGGCAGAATGGTGTGGTGGATTTCAACCAAGCTGCGGGTCGGCTGCATCGCAGGTCTCGCCTCAGTTGCGGACCAGTTGTGTGGTGCGCCTAGTCCTCTACTTCATCCTGAGTAACTTGACGGTACCGTTTTGCCTACCATTTCCAGTACATCATAGAGTTACTTTAGTTGCCTTTAGCTTGCTCCTCTCTTCTCGTTCCCTAATCTGACAGCTCTTCGACCTGCCCACACCTCATCATTGAGCCTTCTATCCTGGAGCAAGGAAGACGCCTCCGGTCCATATCACAACCTCGAAAGTTTCAGATTTCTGGATAACTGACTCTCAACATGGTGCTAGTAACAACGAAAGACGGCGAAGTGTGCTTTGCCTTCGAGCATGGATCCGTTGTGGTTTGTTTACATAGACGGCAATCACGGAAAGCTATTTCCACCTCTGGTTGAGGCGTTATTCTCGGCACGATCACGGTCAGAAAATGTATGACAACCCGGTGCCTTGATGGCTGCTGGCCCGTAGCCCGATATAGTGGATGGTTTAATTGGGCCATATTCGGTAGTTCAGCAACTGCATTCAGCAGGGATGAGAGAACCCTTCATCGAATACGTGCAGCAACTTGGCGCCTATTTGAGTGACCGTCCATTAAAAACTATGCAGAGGACTGACGAGAAACCGGCAGACATGACTCAACATCGACCCGGCCGTCTTGCTGCGAGTACAGCGATAGCGGAGAAGAAGCTGCATTCAAGCCCCGCCTTCGAAGATCTGACCTTGATGATATTGCCATGACAGAAAACTAGTACTTAGGAAGCACCCCATATCAAGCCGCCCGATCATTGGAAGCTCCTTCACGATGTGGCGAAAAGAGCAAATCCGTTTCAATGTGTTGGAAGGCAGCACGGCCTTGAGACATGCATATTGGCATTGACGAGCCACCTATCACGGACATACCTAGGTAGATAGTGTTGGAGGCTTGGAGCATCAATTGCGAATCTTGCGATACAAGGCCTTGAATATCATTTCTGGATCGGAGACAGCGCAATTCTCCCCTCCGAACAACCCTGCTGCTCCACAGTCATGAATTGAGGGGTTATGGGGCAAAGGAAAGCTCAGACCAGAAATGCAGAGAGATAATTCTCGCTTCTCACGCGCAGACATCCTAGTGCTCTGCTCCGATTTGCGGGACTTCGACCCTTTCTCCAACTGCGCTTCCCCGGGGAGAATCTCCTTCAGTGTCTTGGGTTTTCTGTCTATTAAGAGCACACATATTCCATCCGTTAGCTCTTCATGAGCCAAGAATCGACTGTCAGTCGGTGCAGTCGGTGCATCCGTCCGAAAGTCTTTACTGGACTGTTGATCTTTTGGACAAAAGTGCGCTTAATGGGGTTTTGATGTGCGAAATGCCAATGCAGAGCAACTTGACCCGACTAAGACCGGGTAGACCATCCGAAAGTCTGATTTCGTTTTGGATTTCACTCGCGATAATGCTACATGACCAGCTGCAAATACTTGGCTTTGGATTCGCCAATGTTCATTAGCTTCGACCATGACTTGACAAGACCTCGCGATAACATTCGAGGTCTTCGTCATAACCACGATCTGGAGATAGTCGTTGACAACATGACTGGGTACAGCCAGCTTTCACAAGCCACAGCTCTGGAGATGGAGTGTAGGACAAAGACCCGACATTGCCGCGTCAATTGCGCATGTCCAGTCCCAAGCAAGCTCACCTTGTCCAGGTCACTTACCTTCAATTTGTTTGGCGATCTCATGTTGGAATACTGCATAGTGCATAGACACTAATGGACAAGACTATGGCTGGATAAGGTAAACGGCCGCATTGGGTATCTATTCATAGCTGCTTCGTGTCGCGAAGCCTTATTACCTTGGAGGCATGGCAGACTCACTGCCTCTCACGATCTCCCACACCGAGAATTGTATATTCCAACATATTCAAGTCATCTGGGTGTGAAGATAACATGCCCTATTCTTTGGAAATACTCCGGAAAGTCGTGGGAGGGAATGAAGCGGTAGAGAAGATGGTGGTCGAGTACGACATGGCATCTTCGAAATCTGGTTCAATCCACTCCCGAAGCAGTGCCAATGATACCAAAGTCGGTCCTCGATGGTATGTTGGACCAAGTCACCACAGATGCGACCCAAACCTGTGGCGCCAGGGTTGCCTAACTTGTATGGAGCTCATCCGAACCTTTCGCCGCTCGGTTTCTTGTGCGATATGGGCGACGGATGGCTTGGTTGGAGTGCAAGCAGGCGCACCCCTGTCAGCCATGTGCAAGTGTCTCGCCATAGGCCGGTAAAATAGCCGTTGCATGTCGCAAGGACGCACATCTATTGCATCCACGACTAACGGTCTCTGTTCCTGACAGGGGTGCCATCCCGCCTTCAAAGGTTCGCCTTCTTGTAGAACCCAAAACGAGACACAAGAAGCCAGATTTGCTCTCTTCCAATATCCGGGAGAAATGCCATGTGCATCGCCAATGCTTCTCGAAGGCACGTCCAATGGTCGATCCGTTTCAGCGCGGGACTAGAAACGCCTGACGGGCCGGTAGTGGGCACCCCTAGCCAGAGTTTCTCTCCATGTCTTATCCGGTTCAGGAATTGTCTTCGGGCGGCAACGTCCTGGAAAGGCCCCATGTGGGGTCCCGAGTTGGAGACTCATGTTGGAGAAAATAGCTTCGGTGACACCCTTCTTAGGACGCTATTCCTCACCTCCTGGCCAGAGTGGAGGAGGGGAAATGTCGGCGCCATTCGACAGTAGTCTGGTCCTTAGACTCGGTCAGCTCTTTGTCAATGCGCTTGGTTCTCTTGTACGACAATTTGCCAGACATGGATTCCCGGACCTATCATACTGTTTGGGATCAAGGTAATATTGTTTCTGTGGTCTCCAATAATAACAGCTCAACATGATGTGCTGGAACTTGACAGCGGGACATTGGGTGTACAGATGCCATGAGTATGGCCGAATTGTCACTTGAATGTTCATTGAGGACCTTGACTGGGAGTAAACGGCTGTTCTTCCGACGCGGCTTAGCCCATTTCTGTCATTTTAAGAAATGGATCTCTTTCCTTGCTGAGCTCTCCCCTCCGTCTCAATTCTAGATCCAAGCTATCAAATATGCACCTATGCGCTGCCCTCGCCCCTGCTTCCACCCTGTCTCACCCGCCCCTCCTTCTAAAAGGCTAGAGCCAGTCGTTAGAGCCCATCATTTCCCCTCGATCAAGATGAGATGACAGAGATGCGCTCATTCCCCAGGATTCGCCTTTCATTTATCTTACAAGTTCTAGGCCTCCGGGTCCCTTCTACAGCCTGAACAACGACCAACGGCATTGAATTTGTGCCAGTGCTGCATGGTAGATGGCGATAGACACTGCTCCGGCGTCAAAGAGTAGAGCTTCAGTGAAGCTCCCCATGAGGCAACCTGATCTTGGTCTCGATGCCCCTATCAACCTAAGACATGTACAGCTCAGGGATACCCCATTCCGTGTCTGCAGCATGCCCTCCGGCTGTCCAACCCTTGGCACCCCCATTTACCACACCTCTTGGAAGCGAAGCTCCTCATAGGTCCAGTGGACAGATGCAAATGCAACAAGAGTACATCACATCACGACCCCGGCACACGCAGAGTCTCGGTTGAATCCACAGAGACAATCTGCTGTTGGAGTTCATCATCGTCAGAGCTCCACACGCCGGGCTTGCAGTATCCCAGTCTGGGTAAGACACTCGTACACGGTTCTGCCAACAGGTGTAGGATAATTGGCCCCCATCGACTATGCAACGCATACAGGAGGGACCGCAGCTGTACTTAGTTACAGCTCAGGTATGTTGTACATGCACCATGTATGCACGACGCAATACGGCGCCCGGGTCTGCCTTTTCCCTTTTCCTTTTCGACGTCAACATGGCAGGGACATGGTCTTGTCTTGCCGAAAGATAGACACTGTCGCTAGGCCTCGTTTGCATATGACGACCCGAAATTTGACGTCCCTGGCTGGTGGTCTTGCCTCCGCAGTGCCTAGCTCGTCTGTAGACATGGTCAGAGAGATAAGTGGTCGAGAGATGACTGGTAGAGCTAGCACGAGCTCAATGCTTCCAAAAGCACACCAATTCCGAGTCTACCATTCACTCTCCGCCGGTCCCTCTGCCTTTGCCTCCCCGGACCGCCTTCGATCCCTTCCCTTCCCTTCCCTCGAAGTCTCTGGCATGGCTCCCCGGCACCGTCAATCAGTGATTGACACACATCACGCATCGATGGCGGTCAACACGTCGCCCTGCTAAAGAGTGGGTGGGGGTCTGATCGATCTCTGCCTGTCTCAACGGTATAATTTTGCCATGTCTTTTGCTCCCGCCATCCCCTAGTCCCTAGTTTCTGCATTTCTCTGTGTCAGAAGTGATAAGTAAGTCGTCCTCCGTCGTCACTAGAGTGCGTGTGAACCCTCTTCCTATTCTCCTCTCCCTGATCTATATCCCACCATCCCACGCCGCCAACAGGACGCTTTGATCAGGCGCCCCTTGAGCCTCATCACGAGTCGTTACTCAAGTCTCCAACCAACGGCCCTACCCCCATCTTTTACACCTTCCCTAGACAGCATCAAGCACCAGGGACCCCATACCCCGCGGCGTGGTCCCCTCGTGTTCTGTCTTCATCCGACCAATCCGGCCTCACACAGTCGTGCCAACGCCCACTAGGCCCCTACACATCCCACTCTCATCCCACGCGGCCTCCGTCATTATTGGAGATGGCGCCCTCTGCTATGCTTGAGATCGAGGAGCCAATGCAGCTACCCGCCAGCCCTGTATACACCTCGAAGTCTTCTTCGATCAGTGCGTCTGTCTTGCATGGACCACGAGACCTGCGATTGGTGAGTTGTGTCTCCAGATCTTATCGTTACACAAGATCAGGGTCCCTCCTCCTTCATTTACACGCCTTCTATTTTTGGAAGAGGCGTGGAGAAAGAGGAGCAGAGCCGCCTCGAAATTTTTGCCCAGGGCTGACAACCAACTTCGCATACAGGAAGTGAGGAGCATTGAGGATCCGGGAATTGGCGAGCTGCAGATTGCCGTCAGGTCCACGGGAATTTGCGGCTCAGATGTCTCCTACTACAAGAAGTTCGCTAATGGCGACCTCTGCGCCTGCCAGCCACTATCTCTTGGCCATGAATCCTCCGGCACGGTTGTCGCCATTGGCCCTCAAGTAATTGGATTCAAGCTTGGAGATCGAGTCGCACTGGAAGTTGGCATTCCCTGTGGACAATGCGGTATCTGCAGGAAAGGTCGCTATAACCTCTGCAAAAAGATGCGATTCAGGAGTAGCGCAAAGAGTTTCCCTCACTTCCAGGGCACACTCCAGGACAAGATAAACCATCCCGCCAACTGGTGCCATAAGTAAGGCCGCTCCTTGCTTGCCAGATCGGCCTCAACTGATATTTACTTTCCAGGTTACCTGATCATGTCACTTTTGACGCGGCTGCCCTCCTCGAACCTCTCTCTGTTGCCATCCATGCCGTCAACCGCGCCAGACCGGAACCCGGGTCCACAGCCCTTGTCATCGGAGCTGGAACCGTAGGTCTCCTGACTGCTGCTATGGCTCGGCAATCTGGCTGCACCACGGTTACCATATGTGACGTTGATGCCGGCCGTGTCAATTATGCAACCAGCAAGGGTTTCGCAACGCACGGATTTGTCGTTCCCCGGCCTCTGCACACCTCATCTAGCAGCTCCTCCATCTATTCCGGCACTTCAACTCCAGCGGACTCGGGTGTCATGACCCCCGCGAGCATGTTCTCTTTCTCAAGCCAGCTGGACGGCGCAAAGGCTCTCGCACATGACATTCTTAACTTGACCAAGCCTCCACCATCTCTTGCCAATGACGATGAGGACGACGGCGTCGACGTGACTTTTGAGTGCACTGGCAAGGAGGTGTGCATGCACATGAGCCTCTACGCCACAAGACCTGGCGGCAAGGTCATCATGGTAGGCATGGGCACGCCGATCCAGACGCTGCCCATGTCCGTCGCACACCTGCGCGAAATTGACATCCTGGGCATCTTCCGCTATGCAAATACGTATCCTACCGGCATCCGTATGCTTTGCAATAAGGGTGGGCCATTTGCGCTGCCAAGTCTGGACGACATGGTCACCCATCGATTCAAGGGGCTGGCCAATGCAAAACATGCATTTGAGCTTGCTAGCCGTACAGTCGACGACGAGGGCAAATTGGTGTTGAAGGTAGTTATTGAGGCTTAAACAGTTGTTTCATCTAGATTTTGGAATTGGGCAAACCAGGTTTTCTAACGTTTTCCTTCCTGTTTCCTTGCTTTTATCCCTGATCATTTCCATTTTGGGTTCCCTGCAGCGAATGAATGAAAGCGACATGATAGACTGTTACCAGAATGCTTGCTCCTTCAACAAGACCGGTGGCTTTTGCTTGCGCTTCTTATGTCTTCAACGGGGGAACAAAGGATAGCCCCTGATAATATTAGATCTTGGGTGGACTGGACTGGATAGTAAAAAATTTTACAGGCTGCAGGTTGGCTGGCTCTTTTCGAGTTTCCTACAAGCCTTTGTCTTCGACTTATTTCTCATGTCAGAACGTTATGAAAACCAGTACTTTAGCCAAGGACACGCCGGAAGGAGATTTTGCTTTCAATCCTAAATCTAAGCACAACGTGATGATTGGCTAGGGAGGCTGCAGCAGTTAGGACAATACAAAGGGTTCACTCATAGTAATCATGGTCCAGGGAAATGTGTATGATGACTCTGATTCTGGGATTGTTTTGTCTTCGTAAGCCTCTAATGATCTGATGCAATGGGCTCTATCGTTATCGCGACTTCGAGAGAAAGATCTCTTTACTATCTCGTGGGGCCATCCATTGTGCCTTTTCTTCGTGAAATTCCTCGAACGCCGGTGGGAAAAATCAAGTCCGTTGAGCCCTTGCTCATGTAAATGCCAATAGTCCTACAAACGCCATCATCGGCTATGCAACGCCATGTCTCCGCAATCGCACGAAAGAGAAAGCCCAGCCTTGCGCCTAAAGGAGGTCGCCAGCGCCTGGCAGGTTAAAGCCAGAGCTTCCACCTGCTGAGCCAAACTCAGTCGCCATACGACGGTTTTGGTTCTTCGCACTCTCCACGATATGGTGCTTCTTGCCGACGTCTCGCATGTCGCTGATGGCGGTCGCCATCTCGTCCAGCATGGCGATGGATCGAACGTCATTCGCCTCGCTCATCATCTCTCGGTTGAATTGCTCTAGGTCAGACGGCTCCAGAAGCTTCAGGCGGTCAGTCATCGACTGCACCTGTCGTAAGATGGTGTGGGAAGGTGTGGTATGCTGGCCGCTTGCCTCGCCCGCAGTTGCAACACCCTCGCCGCGGAGCACTGAGGGAGGGAGCTGCTCGAGATAGCTTGCGGCTAGATCGACACGCGACTTCATCATCTTGGTGGCGTTCATCTTGCCGGTCAAGGCAGCCACAGCCTCCTCATCCTCCTTGGAAAGCACGACGTTCTCGGGGGTAGGAAAGGTCTCAGCGTCCTGGGGAGCGGCCCGTCGCTTTCCCTTCACATCCACCTGACCCGAGGCTGTCTTCGGCTCCTTGACCTCAGCGGAAGCAGCGTTTCCAGCACCACCAGCGATGTAGTCCATGCTGATCATCTCAGCCTCGTCTGTGGTGAAGCTGTGAGGGATAACTCGGAACTTCAACTTCAAGGTAGCATCGCCGTCTTTCATCTCCTTGTCTTCGCCACTATTAGACGTGATCTTGCTTGCGTCATCGACCTCGTAGTAAGACTCGTAGACCGTGACAGGAATCTTTCCACCAGCAGTATCCTTGGCCTGGTTCACGAGAGCATCGGTGTGCAGGCCGAGGACAACCGCAGACTCATTGTAGCTCAGGATCTGGTGATGAATCGGTAGGATGTTGGGTCGAGGGCCAGTCTGGGGCATTAGAGTGTACCAACCAACAAGGTCAAGATCTTTGTGGACGAGCTTCACTTGAGGGTTGTTAGCCACTCAGATTTCTCTCAGATGACGTTTTCTTCAGATTTCACTTACTCTGCTCCAGACGCGTCGCCAGCCACTCTCCAGGGATGATCAGGTCACCATTCTCAGCAGGAGTAGCGTGCGCCTCGAAGATGAACTCCAAGGTGATCTCGCGGCCATTCTGCTGTCCGATGATGCAGCCTACGATGGGTCCTTGCTGCTTGCGCTGTGTGTGACTGGTAATGTGATTTGAGATGTCCATCAGAACCAGAGGATGGAGCTGAGCCTTCAGGCTCAAGTCAGAGCTCTTCACGCTCGACAGGAGCTCGTTGTGGGTGACCTCCATATTGTCGTAGGCCGAGATGATTCCGTCGACCGTTGAATGCGTGCTGCTGGAGCTTGAACCGCCGACCAGAAACCGGGCGCGTAGATCACTGTAAGCACGGCAGCGCGGGAGGCCACGGATCTTGCAGAATAGAGGACCCTTGGAAGATCCTGACTGCTCAGCTCGATGCTCGATCGGAAGAGCTGGAAGAGGTCGGGTAGGTGGAGGGCCCGGGCAAGGAGGTGGGGTGGGTTGTCGAAGGTGATATTGGAGGGGTAGCGGCAGCGTTGGGACTCGCTGAGGACCTGGAGTCCCAGGGCTTGCGGGGCCAGCAGGGTGAAGCTCCAGGGAGCTCTCCTGCTGGGCCTCACTGGCGCCACAACAAAGAAAGCGATAGCAAAAGCACATTGTGGCGGTGCTAGATCACGTGGTAAGGTTGAAAGATGAAGGGGAAAACGCCACATGTGGCGTTCTGTGGCGTTTTTGTGTGGGTGGAGTGTGGGGCTCCATGAGTGGGGCCTGGGTTTTGGACAGCCTTGTGCAGATTGTGGCCCAAGCTTCTGCACCAGGCTCCATCAAGCTTCACCCTCATTGCCAGCCATCTAACACCCCATATAACACCTGAGAGGCTTTCTTGTGCTTGTGTGGCTCCGATTGCATATCACATACTCGATTTCTTTAGAACTTGCTCTTTTGTATATTAAGAATTTCAAAGTCATTGCTTTGAAGACTTACAAGCCTAGATTTCAATCGTTGCTGGTTATAGCCACAATTGTCAATAACATACTAGTATATGGGCTGCAACTGCTTTACAAGTGACCCTAGGGCTCTTGCCTCAAGGTTCTAGATATGAATGCTTGACCAGATGACATGACCTTTATAGGCCTCATTGATTAACTTTTGTAGAAAAGCTCTAAAGTCTAGTTTGCTGATTATTTTGATATGCCTAAGAAAGTCCAGTCTTAACTTATGTTGAGCATGGAGCTTTACACCTTTGCAGGTACACTGCTTATTTGGGCTGTAATACAGGCTAGCTAAAGCACAATCAACAAAGCAAGGGGCTTATCCAAACAAGTTCTCAGCAAAACCTATGTGCAGTGTAGGGAAGCCTGCTTCCAAGCCAAAGAAGTAGAACTAATTATTACTAGGATGTGTAATGTTGTCTCATAGCTCTTGCATACTGTTTGATGACCACATCTTGATTGTGACTGGGTTATGTTGTAATGACAAATGGTGAAGATCGCTAGGCTTTCATCTTCCGCAATATTCTTTGTGGCCAATGCAACCATCAGCTACTCCAGTGAACAGGGCGATGATTTCTCATCAAACACTCTACTTAGTATCGATGCCTATCCCATTGTCTAGAAACCCTCATACTCAACTTGATAATGATCACCTCAAGACTTGAGTAACAGTACTCACATCCAATAACGCTCTTCAAGCCAGAAGGTGCTGTATTGTTGTGAGGTTGAGGGACACTTCAGAGAGCAAGTGTGTTATTATCATCCCAGAAAAACTGATGCCTTGATCCAGGTATCATTACACGTGTTGAATCTATGTGTTCTTCTCCAGGGCATTCTACAAATATAGAATCATCCTCAACAGGCATCTCTGCATTTGGCATCTTCAATGTGCATTTAATTTCTCGATTTCAGCCAGGTATTTCGATACATTATGGCTTCTGCAAGCAGAACAAGCCCGTCCCATAGCACTCAATCCCCGAGTAACACTGATACTCCAGCTTCGAAGAGATCGGCTCCTGAAGAGGAGGTTCAATTTGTGTCTTCAAAACCAGTGAAGAAACGACGAACGAGTCTCCCGAATGGCCCAAAGCCTGCAGCATCTCAACAGCCTGATACTACCGAAGTAAAAGGCCACAAGGATCCAGTGATGGATCAGATCCATGATGCATCAGCTCCTAGCAACCATGAGAGGCCTTCAATTCCTTCAAGCGAGGCGCCTATGACACCAGCTATCGTTACCCAAGGCACCTTAACTCCTGGCATGGAGTGCTTCACTTTTCCGCAAGCACAATATCCGGCAACAACCCTACCTCCTCACAACTCGCCAGTCCTCTCTCCGAAGCAGTTACCGCTCGAAGCAAGCGGTTCATACTCGGCAAATATCCCAATGCAGCAGACCATGGATATTATATCATTTCCAGATCTTTTCAACCCAGCAGACTTCGAAGGCCTTGGAAATATTTGGGAACTGGCGAATTGGGTACCACAGCCAGCTTTGATGACACCCGAGGCTGCACTCAATCACAGAATGCTCAACCCACCTTCGCACCTGCAGCCAGACGCACAAGCCCTGGGACCACCATCTGATTACCCGATGACCCTACCATCTCCAATGTCATCAAGTCAATTCTGTCTCAGTCAAACAAGCCTGACTGATCCCAGCACGAGCAATGTTCAGCAGCCTCAAATGAGCCAGGATATCCAGTCCATACCACCCAGGGAGACAAGTCCGCGGGAGGAAAAGGAGAAAACTCCGCCCGCCCCTCTTAATGATGCCAAATCTGAGACTCCTGAGACTCCTGCACCTGTGGCGCTCAAGGGACCAGCAACTTCCGAAGCAAGAAAGGAGATCCCTCTTCAGTCTCAGGGGCCGCACAAACCTAAGCTACCTTGCTTAATATGCGCCAAGCTCCGCCAACAAGCCATGATCAACCAGGCCAACGGAAAGGGACTCAATATGGATTCGCCGGCCACGACCACAGCTGAACATCACTTCCATCTTCACTCTTCACATCAGCCAACTCTTATGGGTCCAGGCTCCGGTAACGTACCGGGTCCTGCCTCACAGATGAGCTTCCAATACCTCAACTCACCGATGGGCATGATGTACGCGAATGGCGTAGCACCTGTCAATGGGGCCCTGAGACCGGTTTCTCCGTACATTATGGGCGGCGTACTGGCGCAGGCAACGAACATGCCTGGCGCAAATTCTATGATGGCACCTGCAGTCCAATATACTCCAGTACACAACCTGCAAAACACTCAGGCAACCAAGCATCAAAATCCCGGACCTGCAAAGAAGTCCATGACAACGTCTTCGCCTGCTGGTAAGGCTCGAGCTCCTGCAGCATCAAAGCGCAAGCCGCCGCCGAATCTTATCGTTGATGTCGCCGAGACCTGCGAAGAGGTCTTCCCCTTCGACGAGGTTGCTGAACGGCACAGCGTACCACGCCACAGGGTCGTCGAGGTCTTCTCCGCCATCGTCCAGCTGCCTTTGCTGCGGTGTGCCACGGACAAGCGCAGATCAGGCAAGCTGGCACAGACGCGCATGCGAGAGTTCGCCAAGGCGAAGAAGGAATCGCAAGTCGTAGGGAATGCCCCAGCACTGGGCAAGCATGATGCTGCACATGGTCAAGCTCCGGAGAAGAAGCTGATCTTGCCTGGGGTGATGGAGCTGGCAAGAAATATGCCACCATTGGAGTACCCAGGAGGTGCTAAACAGGGATTCACGGGGCCTTGGTAGCATTGGTCAAGCTGTTACGATTCAAGTTTGTGAGCATTGTTATTAGATCATGGAGCATGTAATTAACTGCATTGGCTTAACATACCTCGTCATCCTCCTTGCCCGGCCACAAGACCTCATCAGACACACCGCGGATGGTTGCCTTTCTGATCTCTTCCATCCTCTGCAGTTCATATTTGGTCAGAAGCCTCTGGATCTCGGCGGCGACAACGGTCTGGTTCTCGGACGCCGAGACGCGGTATCTCGCCAACGCCTGCTCTCTCAACAGGTCGAACTCGATGTTGATGCGCGAGATACGGTGGGATGGATGGCATTGCGCACATGTATCTCGCAGCTCTGTAGTTGTGCCGGTAGGCATGGCGCATCCCTTGCCGCAGGGCTTGGTGATGTGGACAAGACAATGCCTGCAAAGAAGTTTAGTGATTTCGCCCTCGCACATCGTTCCGCGGTGCTTGGTTCCTCCGAATCGATGACTTTTAACTTGAATGAAGCCTCAGATTGCTCATGGTGGGCGGACTCGCTATTTAAGTGCACTCAGGCTTTTGTACGTGAGAGCGTATCCCTGCGGAGGAAGAAACTAGTTGTCTTCGCCCCTGACGCATGTCTCGGACAACGTCTTTGTTAACTTTCCACTAAGAAAGGACCACAATGGAGTAGGTGACAATAGCTTTAGAAAGTTGTCTGTTCAGGAGCGGATGAAAGTTCTTTCTTTGAAAATGACTGAAACTTGAGATAAACCCATGCCGTAAGATGAGGCGGTATGAGACCATGGAACTACCTTGATCCCTGAAGCCTGTCTTAGTCTCGCACCATAGGAAGCCTGAGATCGCGCCCAGTCTTGCGTTCATGGGCAGCTTAGCCGCAACTATTACCGGAAGGGCATGACATAGCGGCATTGTAAACTTGTAATGTGATAAACTTACGAGAAAGCTTGCCGTTTTGCCCGATTGTGGCCGTGTCAAGCCCATTGTGTCTTCTAGCGGTGAGGTGTATAAGTGAAACTTTACCATTGAGGCTCATCTTCAATACATCGAGCTTTGCTCTTGTGATAAAGACGCTGGACAATAGTAATGTACACTTCTAAAGGCTAGAGTCAGGACGCTGAGAGGACGTATTAGCTTTCTAGATATCTCGTCGCCTCGAGTGAAATATATTCTAGCTTACCTGGACGATGTCGCCTGGAGATGTGACTGATGCCTTGGGGCTTACTGGAACGGTGGGGCGACGTCGTACAGCACTATTGAGCCTGCCTTAGGGGTCCTAGCACAACCACATTGCGCTATCCCATTAGCCCTATTAGCACCTGACCCTCCAACAACCCCGCCATTCCACCTACTAGGTAGGTACTAAACGCGTCTTCAGAATCTCAAAGACGCGTTTCACTTTACGCCAGTTTCTGCCTACATCGTCCAGAGACATGGTGCATGACGACCTCACCCACAACACTTTTGCAATCTAGGATAGCAAAACTGGTTAAAATAATACCGTCCGCCAGGAGGATACGCCTGCATGTCAACCATGGACTGGGAGCCACCGCTGCCCGAAGGCTACGATGATAGCAACCGTGCCTTCGTGCAAGCGTTTATGGCGCGAGGCACCCTCACGTTCCCTGAAGCGCAGCGCATCCTGGCCGCTATCGTCAGTGCGCAACGAGGTGGCGAGAGGGTCGATCCCGATTCCGTCGAGCGAGAAGACTTCGAAGGATACATCGCCATGGCCCGCGAGGCTGTGTCGCCCCTGGATTTCGACGTCCGAAGCACGATGCATCAAGTCAAGAAGGAGCGCCTCTGGGCGCTTATCAACGCCCATAGCGACCCTTCGACACAGTTAGCGACGTCGCATACTCCGGATGAGATCTCATTCATCAAGAGGCTTCTAGATGCCATGTTCGAGACATACAACTCGCGGAGAATGGAGGTCATGGCGGTGACTGCTCCGCAGGCGCGAAAGCTCGCACGACCGGTGCGGAATCCCCAGCAGAATGGGGATGGAGAAGCCTCGCAAACATCTTCAGACAAGGGCCTCAAGCATAGTGAGGTTGAGGCCCTGCTGGTCAGTCTTGTGGATGAAGGATGGCTGGAAAAGAGCCGGGAGGGATTCTACAGCCTCAGCCCCAGAGCTCTCATGGAGCTATGGTCATGGCTGATGGCTTCATACAATGATCCTGATGCAGGCGATGATGAATGGCAGCGGATCAAGTTCTGCGAAGCATGCAAAGAGATTGTCACAGTGGGCCAGCGGTGCGCAGAGAGGGACTGCAACACGAGATTGCATGATATCTGCGAGAATGCGTATTGGCGTACCAGACGAGATAAAAAGTGCCCACGATGCGAGCGGCCTTGGACTAGCAAGCATTTTGTCGGAGAGCGGGCCGTCACAGAGACAGAAGCTTTCCAGAGGGGTCGGCGCCGAGGTAGCGGCAGAAGAAGTGATCTTGCCGATTCAATCATGCAGCAGGATGACGAAGACGACGATCAAGACGGCGTGGACGAAGCGGACGAGGACATGGATGGTCAGGCATGATATGAATGAGCACGAAAACAACGCTTATCTTAGGTACGGAAAATGGGCTGGAATGATAGATGATACCCTTTGCTAGTCAATGGCAATTGAAACAATGCTATATGTAATACTGCATCATCGCAAAGTGTGCCATATTCTATATTCCATCTGTTGTAGCGCTGACATGGTCCAATAGCAGCCGACACGCCTTCCCCCTATAATAGCCGTTTTCTAGTGGAGCGCCGAAGCGTCTCAGGCGGTCATTGATACCTGCCTACGTCATGTGTGGCGTTAGCTCCCTCCCAAATGATCCATGCGACACGAGAGAACAAGGAAGCTACTTCGTGCTGCTATTCGCTGTGATCCAATAACACATGCAGATAAAGAAAACCGATGATGCAGCACAAACAGAGAACGCAGCGAAATATTTTCGACCGCTTTTGATTCTTTAACCCTGACTTTGGGCATTTCCTCTCTTAACCGTACCGGAAATCTACCACCGCCAAGATGCTCGAGTATTTCAGCTACAAGAAGTTCAAGAAGACTCGCGACGAGAAGCTGAAGTTTGGGAAGGACAACTTGGAGACAAAACCAGAAGAAGGTGCACTCAGCATCACAGTCTCTTCGCCAAAGGAAGATGCTGAGTCCCTTGCGCCTGTGCTCACTGACGATGACGAGCGTTTCTTCGAACGCCTCACGTCTCCTGAGGAATACACCGACGAGGATGGCAACCGACCGCCGTTGCCACCGCGCGTAATGACACCCGATATCTCTTTAGACAGCGATGCAGAGTCCTTCCAGTCGCAACAGCAAGACGTGAAAGGCAAGGGGAAAGCAGTGGCTAAAGAGGCTGAGAAGAAGGCGGACAAGAAAGCGAACCGCTTCCCATTCTTCATGCGCAAGAACAAGAAACTGGAAGATGCGCCGGAACCTAGCAGCCTCGTTGTCCCGGAGCGCGAAGCCGAAAAGGAGCAGAAAGATATCTCGCGCCTGCTCGACGACCTCAACCTAGCAGCGAAAAACAACAAGACTTTCTCCTTGTCTGAGGAGTCTTCAGATATGCTGGCCAAATTCACTCTCATCCTCAAGGATTTGGTTAACGGTGTGCCCACTGCTGCCAAGGACTTGCAAAGCTTGTTCGAGGACCACGACGGCACACTGGCAAGGAACTACGAGAAACTCCCTAAGTCAATGAAGAAGCTCGTGACACAACTGCCTAACAAGCTCACCACCACATTGGCTCCCGAGCTTTTGGCTGTTGCTGCCGAGGCGCAAGGTCTATCGGCAGCAGAAGCATCAACTGGAGGATTGAAGGGAGCAGCCAAGAAGTTCCTGACGCCAAAGAACCTGCAGGAGCTGGTCACAAAGCCGAGTGCTATTGTGGGGTTGTTGAAGGGTATCATGAATGCCTTGAAAGCCAGATGGCCAGCATTTATGGGCACCAATGTCATCTGGAGCATAGCCCTATTCAGTAAGTAATCCTCATTCTCAGCGTCACGAAACAATATTAATGAACCAAATCTAGTCCTGATGTTCGTCCTCTGGTACTGCCACAAGCGGGGACGCGAGGTCCGTCTGGAAAAGGCCGACAAAGAGAATCCTATCGACGGAAGTGATCGCGTTGAGGAACTCCCCGATGATCCGACACTCCCAGCACCGGCCACTGAACCGGTAAACCCATCGATTCAAGTCCAATCTCCTAGCCCTGCACCAGCTTCAGGTCTAGATTTACCTCCTCCTCCGATCGGAGCCAATGCACCTGGGAGTAAAAGCCCTGCTACGGTTCCGAAATAGTAATGCCTTACAAACGACACGATGGGAACGACTGAGCGTATGAATGTTAACGGTTACGATGGAATGGCGCGGCGTGGCGTATTGATACCTTGGGACAGTCTCGGAAGCACATTTGGCCCAAATTTTTTTTTTAGTTTTGCTTCGTCTTAACATTGGACGTGGTAGTTTAGCTTAAGCCAAAGTAACATCATTTTTATACATCAATCCCAAACACCCTGCTCCGTTCATGGGTATCGTTTTCAGTTCCAGAAAGGTTCCGTCCCTTGATAGCATAGCAGTATGCTCCCCTGGATTTCTACAATGGCTATCGTTCATTGTCTTCAATCGTCTTGCACCAGCTCCTTTATCTCTTCGCGACCGGCTGTCATTCCAACAGCCTCCACCTTCTCATTCTGGCGTGTCCGGTCGATGACTCTACCACCGTCCTTCATCCAGAAGTCGGCTTCATCAATAATATCGTACACGACATCCTCCACGATCTGCTCGTCATAGCGCTCGGCCACGGGGCGAGGCTGGCCCTTTTCAGGGTTTGGTCCGCCGCCATTGATAGCTTTCTCCTGACCTTCCATGACGGTGTCCTCTTCGACCCCTTCATATCCTGGAGGCGGGTACCAAAACTTTGGCCCGAAGTTCACCTCTGCTGCTCCGCCCCTGAATGTGCTTACAGCGGGATAGTAACCTAGCATTCCGTCGTCGAGGCCCTCACGGGCGTCTTGCTGCGGTGCTGGTTTTGAGGCGGGTGGTAGGAATGCGAGAAGATTTGTGAAAGCAGTCCCCATTGACACACCATTCTTATAGACCTTGATCCAAGAGTTCGGTAATGTTCGCATACACGGAGAAGGGTGGTTCGGATTGGGGCCTTCCGAGTTCCCTGTGCCTGCTCCCGAGGTGGACATGGGAGATGGATTCATCAAGTCGTCCAGCTCCTTAGTAGTGTGGTAATCGAACTTTTCGAAATAGATATGTGCTTTGAATCGAATTGGTATCCGGTCGCGAACAATGTTGGGGGCTTCCGCTGATGGTTCGGGTTCATCGTCCGCCAGGTCAACAGCAGGGTTGTAATACCCCTGTACCACCTTTCGGTGTAGATGCTCAGAAGGCAGCTGAATTTCCAGACCTATAACATCGCCCTCCTTGATGTCCTCTCCCGGAGGAAAAAAGTCCTTTGGCCGTGACATGTGCACTTTCTGCCCTTGTACGTCACGAATGCCGTAGCTATAGGCATCAAACCCCACAGGAGCATCTAGTGAAGCCTCTCTCCGGGCAAAGCCCACGCGCACATGGCCGTGCGACTCAGGCTGTCCCGCGGCGGGCTTCTCCTTCAAGGTACCTCGCGTGATTTTGCACTCCCAGTACCAACGGCCTTCCCTCACCGCCACATTCGCTCTCGCCATTCTGAATCCCTTGTCCGTCGTGATGTGAGTGCCGGACCTGTCGAAAAACATGTGCGTTGCGGCATCTTCAAAGCTCATGTGAGGCCCATGAGGCTCGGGTTCGGTAAGGCGGTAGAAGAAGGAGGACGGAAAGGCGGGATCTGCTATGCAGTGTGTGTAGACAAAGTTCTTCTTGTTGTAGACACTGAATATAGTCAGTAATAGACTTGGAAATGGCAAAAGAGGCACACTCACTGCTCGGTTGTCTCGAAGAATTCGATAGTCTCCCCTTCAGGACCCTGTACGTCATGGTGAGTGGTGAAAATAGGCCCTTTCGCTACCTCGAAATCGCCAGGTTTCGGAGGTGGAAGCTTGTACCGCGCCGGCGACACTTCCGCTGGCGGCGCATTCGTCGGCTTCAAGAGCTGCTTTGGGTCGGGAGTTGCCCTGGCGCTGTCTCCCCCCGTCGGGGCGCCTTTCGACTCGCGCTTCTTGAGCGACTCCTTCTTCGTCCTCTTCTCACGTGCCATTGCTGTACTGTCGTCTTGCGATTGAGGTTTTGTGGGTTTGGTGTCGGGATTGAGCGGCGAGGACACTGCGGGAACGTGGTCGTCTTCGAGGACTCGCTTCTGAGGAAGGGAGGAGGGAGTGGGAGTATCCCTCCTGGGGACTTCGCCTTCGGTAGCCATCTTTTCTATTCTGACAATCAACAATTCCGATTATTTCGTCCGAAGTGCTTTCAAGCGATTCAACCACGAGGCGTGCTGTGCTCAGGCTACAATGTGCAGACCTGCCCTTTGGGAAGTGAGCTGCAGCTCTCTAGGCACTCAGGGCAGGGTGTTTTCAGTGCATCGATAACACAGCAAGGCTGAGAGTTGCGGCAGCTTATCCATTGGCCAGGCACCACAGCCGGCCCCACCCGCTTTGCATCCAGGGAAATCTTGCCTTGCAATCACATAGCTAAATTTTGACGACTGCCTCAAGGCTAATTTCATCCAGCACGTCGCAAAACACCACTCACACCCTCCTTTGATCTCGCGACTCGGTCAAAATGCCTGTCGTCAAGGGTGGAGTGTGGACAAACATCGAGGATGAGATCCTCAAGGCCTCAGTCTCCAAATATGGCCTGAACCAGTGGGCGCGCGTGTCGTCGCTGCTGGCTCGTAAAACACCCAAGCAGTGCAAGGCGCGATGGAACGAATGGCTCGACCCTAGCATCAAGAAGATCGAGTGGAGCAAGGAGGAGGACGAGAAACTGCTGCATCTGGCAAAGTTGATGCCAACGCAATGGCGCACCATCGCCCCTCTTGTCGGTCGCACCGCGAATCAATGCCTCGAACGATACCAGAAGCTCCTCGATGAGGCCGAGCAGAAGGAGGCGGGCGGCCTCAGTCTGATGGGACCTGAAGGAGGCGAGACACAAGCTCCATCAGCCGATGATGTTCGTCGTCTACGGCCTGGCGAGGTCGACCCAGACCCGGAGACGAAGCCCGCGCGACCGGATACCATCGACCTTGACGAGGACGAGAAGGAGATGTTGAGCGAGGCTCGTGCGCGTCTGGCCAATACACAGGGCAAAAAGGCGAAGCGAAAGGCTCGTGAGCGACAACAGGAGGAGTCACGCCGTCTGGCAGCCCTGCAAAAGCGGAGGGAGCTGAAGACAGCTGGTATCAACATCAAGGTTGTCACTCGCAAGGCAGGTCAGATGGATTACAATGCCGATATTCCATTCGAAAAGAAGGCAGCTCCAGGTTTCTACGACACGAACGAGGAGATGACTCGCAATGAGCTGCAGCGCGCGGCTTTCGATCCCCGCAAGCAGCAGCTGGCTGCCAATAAGCGCAAAGGGGATCAGGACGATGAGGCTGATCGCAAGAGACGCAAGAACGACAAGGATGCTCCTTCGGCATCTTATCAGGCTGCAATCAAAGCCGGTCAAATGCAACGTATACGGGAAGCAGAACAGAGTAGCAAACGTAGAGCATTGAATCTACCGGCTCCTCAGGTCAGCGAGGGCGAGCTCGAGGAGATTGTGAAGATGGGGATGATGGGAGAACGAGCCAATATGCTGGCAAGGGAAAGTGATAACGACGCGACGAAGGGTTTGGTTAGCACTTATAACGCACTCAACACTGGCGCGCCGATTAGGACGCCGAAAGCTCCTGCCCAGGAGGACCATATTGCCAATGAGATCAGGAACATTCGAGCTCTGACCGAGACTCAATCATCTCTGCTGGGCGGTGAAAACACTCCTCTTCACGAGGGAGCTGGTTCGACTGGCTTTGAGTCTGTTGCTCCGCGGAAGCATGTCGTGGCGACGCCGAACCCATTGGCCACGCCTCTCAGGTCTGGAGCGAATGGTCCAGGTGCCACGCCGCTAAGACCAGGGCAAACTCCACTGCGCACTCCTCGCGATACCTTTGCGCTAAACTCTCAAGATGATGAGATGTCTCTGATTGGAGGCACTCCCGGGGATCTCAGGGTCCGCGACACTGCTATGAAACATATGTTGAAGCAAGGTCTGGCTGCGCTTCCGAAGCCAAAGGATACGGAGTGGGAGCTTGAACTGCCAGATGAGCAAGCTGAACTGGCAGATTCTGGTCTCACCCGCGAGGAGGATGCTGCGGAACGCGATCGAAGGGAGCGCGAGTACCGAGAGGCACAGGAATTGCTTGAGCGGAAGAGGCGGACGCAGGTTATGCAGCGTGACTTGCCTCGTCCGGCTGCTGTCGATGTGAAGGCATTATTACAGGATGCATCCCAGCTATCCGACCCAGCTGAAGCACTGGTTGCCCAGGAGGCAGCATTGCTGATGCTTAACGATGCCTTGAAGTACCCGCTTTCGGGGACAAAGCCCATTGACGCTCCTCCTATCCTGGAACGCATCGATGACAATGCATTGGCAGAAGCAAACTTGCAGATTCTGCTGGAGGCAAAGGGTAAGCCGAAGCCTGATGAGGTGCATGCTGCGTGGGAGAGAAGCAACAGCAACTCCTTGCTACTTGGCCTCGGCTGCTATGATGATGACGATGAAGAGGACCAAGTGGCGGCTATGAAGACAGCATTTGACGTAAGTTTTAGCGCCTAAATCTTGGATCTGCGACAATTTGCTAACTTGTTTCAAGGAGGTTCAAGATTCAATCATAGAGTCGGCTGAGAAAGGAGCTAAACTGGAGAAGAAGCTCACCCTGCATCTCGGAGGCTACAAGCAGCGAGCCGAGATGTTGCGCAAGAAGATCGGAGAGACCGCGGTTGACCTCCAAAAGGCCAACAATGCCCTCGGTGCGTTCAAGACGCTCGCAATTTCAGAGGAAGCCGCTGTCCAAAGACGCCTGGCGGCTCTCCGAGATGAAGTCGGCTTTGTTAGCCGTAGGGAGAGAGAGGCACAGGAGCTGTACAGAAGGAATAGGGAAGAGCTCAACAGTCTTGTGGGTGACGGGACAAATGGTTATCATTAGACCATCACAGGCCGTACGGTGTACAGTGAAAATGTAGAATATCTATTTAGATTTAGGGGCATGGCATGGGCGTACGCCACCAAAAATGCAAGTTGCTGGAACATATCTTCCAGGCTCTATACGCCAGGAGAGATTCAAAATCAGTCTATTGTTTCCTACTTATGACTTGACTGTGTTGCTATCTATCATGCAAAAACTTTTATTCGCTCCATGTACTATGTCTTGTGTTGTATCATCTGGTCAAGTCTGTCATATTCATGGACTCTTTAGCCGAACAAAAAGTTTAACGTGCGCTCAAACCAATTCCTAAAGAACATTGTTAGTAGACGACCAGGAGAGTAATAAACGGCTAAAGAATATGAAATGGTTAGGAGAGGAGTAACATACTTGGGAGGCGATGGTATGTAGTTGGCTTGATATTCCTCGATCTCCTCAAGGTTCTTAAAAAGGTCTACCTCGGCAGGCTTATAAAACTTGCTCTTCTTGATGATCTTCCAGCCGATAAACAGGATAGGGCAGACGCCGATCATGGTATATCTAGTCACATATAGTCAGTAACAGAGCATCAGTGGTTGCAGGTCCGGATTCGAAGCTTACGAAAAGAAGAACGTAGGGATATCCCAATTCCCAGGTAGGAAGACCGTGTAGCCACCGACGAAAGTCATGATGAAAGTTCCAACCAGCCCATACCAGGCACTGAAGGGCTGCGGTAGGAAGCCCTTGTATGGAAGCGAGTCCCGGCTCATCCCCTGAGCCGCAAGAGCCTTGTGGAACCGGATGTATGTGAAGCACATAACGGCGAAATTGATGAGCTGAGAGGCGGTCACAAGGTTGACAAACCACTGTAGGACTTGGGCAGCATTGTTCGAAACCTGTAGGAAGGAAAGCAGAGAGAGTGCCAGGACAACGAGCACGCAATAAAGTGGCACTCCGTTGCGGGTACACTTGGTGAAGAATGCCGGCGCTTTGCCCTCAAGCGCCATGCCATACAGGGAACGAGACGCGCAGTATACGTAGCTGTTACCGGCTGAGAACTATTGCGTCCGAAGTCAGTGGCTTCCTTTGAATAGTTGTGAAGAGCGGGAATAGACGCAGTTGAGAACGGAGCTGGACAGCGCATTCGCCATACATGTCTTCAGGACACAAATAAAACGCTGGAAAAGTGGAATTTTACTAACAGCAGCCGTGAGCACCATCGCGTTCACAATATCCGGTAAAACGCGAATCTTCATTCGATTCATGGCGACGACATATGGGCTGGCTGCAGCACCTGGTTTGCCGGTGCTAAAGGCTTCGGACATCTCAGCATCATTGTACGGGACCAGGATGCCAACAGCCAAGGAACCAAGGACGAAAAATGCAGTGAGACGGTAGAAAACGGCATTGAAAGCCCGTGGCATCACAACTCGTGGGTTCTCGGCTTCGCCAGCGGCCATCGAGACGTAGTCGGGGCTGGGGTGGTTGTGTTAGTGGTGTTGGCAAGGCTTGGGAAGACGGGAGTGGCTGACCCTGCAATAGTAAAAGAAGCTTGAATGAGACACTGCAGAAAGCCAAGAAAACGGCCAAGACTTCCATCGTAATACAGCTCGGTGAATGCGCCGGGGTTCTTCCAATATCTTCACTCGGTTAGTGTGGTGGCTTAGGTCGGGGGTCGAGATCAACCACGCACCTAAAGCCGAATCGATCTTGCAGAGGATTACCACCAAGCATGGTAATAAACGTGAAAATGATGAGCGCAACGATCAGAAGCACCTTTCCCAGCGCAGCCCAGAATTCGGACTCGCCATACCAGTGGACGGCAAGCAAGTTAATAAGCCTGTGCCGATTGGTTAGACATTTCCGAGGCAGTAGAGCGATAACACAACACACCCATAGAGAACGATAATGATGGCAATGATTCCACCGGCCGGTACGATATCGCTCCTGTCAGATTAATCTCGTCAGCAACCACGACGAGAGTTGATGACTTGTGTTTTCCTTACCAGTAGTGGATGATGACGTTGCAAGCTGTGATCTCAAAAGGCACTAGCATAGCCTCGAAAATGAAAAAATTCCAGCCTGCAGCGAAGCCAAAGGCCTCGTCCACATAACGACCAGCAAACCGGATGAATGGCGAAGAGATCGGAAGGTAAGTCACCTGGAGGAACGCGGCACTTAGTATTGAGTCGCACAACTTTGAAATCCACCTCATTCTCTTCATTTTAAGGAACTCACCATTTCAGCCATGCCTACGCTTGTTAGTAAAACAGCAAGATTCTGACAAGACAGAGGAATCACTTACACATTGTGGTCGCAAGAATGAAGGTACACCTTCAATGGATCAGGGTTTTGTTTATATAGCCTCTTAGGAATTTGGAAACTCACCAGAGTGTAAAGGCCATGAACAGACTGGCGGGACCTCCATTGAGCAACCCACGACCAATTTGTACATACAGAGCTGTTCCAATTGTGCCACCAATACCTGCCCGTCCATTAGCATCCCAAGTGCCATCTTTTAAAGTCGAATTGAGTCAATCGCACCAATCAACTGAATGTGTCGCGACTTGAGCCTCCGAACGGTGTGGTCTCCCTTGGTAATTGAAGCAATTTCTGGGCTTTCAGGATCACCGTTTGTGTCAAGCTTCTTCTCGTCCAAGATTCCACGCTGCGAATCATAGGGTGGAGGGCGGCGCGACCCTGCCACATCGATTCCGGTGGAGGCCATGGTATGGTTCGTTCCAACTGCAGGCCCCGAGCAGTGTCTGAACAGTTTGTAGTGCCGCACTGTCTCGTGAGAGGCTAATCAATGAATCTGCTTGAGGAGAAGGCTGAAGAACTCGTGCACAAACTGCATTGGGGGTTCACAAGCTTTCAAAGAAGCAATTGAACAGGACAAGAGAGTCTAGAAAACGAGTACTCGGACTTGGCGAGGAAGACAAGCGCGCGCGGAGGGAGCTTTGGGGTATAAAAGGGAAATGAATCGACAGAAGCTCAGAGGATCAGCATAGCGCGGTAAGCCAAGACTGCTTGTGATGCTAAGACTGGTGCTGCCGCAAGCCAACAGGTGAAGTCTCTTGCCAAGATAACAAAAGACGAGAAGAGATTGTGAAGTGTGTGGTACGACCGGTTTTCTTTACTCTATCTAGTTTATCTAAGGGTACATGTACCTTCAAGGTAAGCAGCAAGCATGCAACCATATCTCC